ACTCATGTTGCTGTGTGTATGTATGCAGAGATGGGGGTAAACTTGTTTCTTTAGAAGAAATAAAGGAAAATGTAAGTTGGTGAAAAAAATTACACATTTGCTGGTTTTAAATTATCTCATTAATTCTTAAAACCCTTCTATGGAGGTGGTACTATTTTCTACCTGCTTCCCATACTTGCGGAAACCAAAGTTGCAGCACTGATAATGTGCTTAAGATGGGATTCAAGTAGAATTTAAAGGCAGTCCTCTTGGTTCATGCGCCCGAGCTGCTATACACCATCTTGTGTTGTGAGATGTTAAACTGAGTCCACCCCATTCCAGGCTTTGGGGAATCCTGTTATTGGTCTTAAAACCAACTTGATAGGAACCTTTTTGAAGTGTTCGAGTCTTTCGAGATTTTTGTCCTCTTCCTTCTGAAATCGGTCCATCTTGAGTTGTGTGAAGACGCTTTGAATCTGGGATTCTTACTACATATCACGGGGCAGCTCTTAGTTCCTGGCTGCTGTTGGGGTACCTACTAACATCTATATTTGCTGATTATACAAGCGAGGAACAACAACAAGGATTAGCATGGTCAATTCGTATGCGTTCCTTTCTGGTTTATTGATTTCTTAGGATATTTCTCAAATTTCATGGACCTATTAAGGGTATTCTTGGGGCGTATTGATTTAAACTCTTATACTACTTGCATTTAAAGCAGTAGCAGTCCTGAGCATTCACCTTCACAAATGACAGCAGCTGGAGTAGGTCACATCAAAATTTTCACCAATCTTCATATTACTGATTAGTAAACCAACGACTGACAAATTTTAAAAATGTCTTAGCTTTTTCTGGGCTTATGTATATGAAAACATATAAAGCCTATTACTATTTATAATGCCCAGATTTTGTTGAGGAAGTGCTTTGTATATAATTCTTGTGAAAAGCAAATCCTTCCTTTTCACTCAGAGTGAAGGCCTCCAACCACGATCCCTCGGTCCAGGACCCTTCCCATTCTTACGCCCTCAGCCCTTGCTCACCGCAGCGGCGTGAGCTGCCCAAGCAGTGACACACCTGTTCATATCCTACCAGGAATCAGTTCAAATCCCGTCAGTAATCTGTTCAGATCCTATCAGTGTGTCCTTTCCTCCTCGGTGTAGTGCAGATGGCCCCGCCACCTTTCCCTAAGGGCCTGGGACTCCCTGAGGACTCCTCCACATATCATCTTCCCACCCAATATACGCTCAGCATCTTGCGTTTCATATTTTTTCATGGTTTCTTCTCTGTGGGAGCTAACGGTTTTGTGTCTATATTTTCTGTAAAATAGTGCCTTGCCTTAGCAGGTGCTAGATATTTATTGAATGAATGAATGCAATATGCAAAATGTGTATTTTAAACTATATCATATGTATGGAAAGAAAGTACATTTATCGTTTTCCATGTGGTCAGGTAGAGCTGGGTAGCAGTGAATGAACTAATACTGGGCCAGGGTCATTGTGTCAGGTAATCAAATTTGCTATGAATGGTTGATTTAAAGTGCTCACTTCATTTACTTTTTATGACTTCTCCCATTTTTAATTAAAATTGGAGGAGAAATTAGATATTTCTTAAATACAATCATTTTAAAAATTTTTCTTAATTTATCTGATACACTCAAAGAATTAAAAACGAGGTATGTGTTAAGGGAATTAAGTTATTTTCTAAATCATATAGGGGCCCTGACTCATGTGGCTAGTTTGCTTGGGCATCATGCTACAAAAGAAAAGGTCACTGTTTTGATTCCTGGTCAGGGCACATGCCTGGGTTGCAGGTCCAGTCTCTGGTTGGGGCACGTGCGAGAGGCAACTAATCGATGTTTCTATCTCACATCAATGTTTCTCTCCCTCTCTTATTCTCTCCTTTCTTATGTCTCTAACAAATAAATAAATGAAATCTTTAAAATCATGTAGGGGCTGTGTGGTTGACTCACAACATTTGTTCAACTCTAGATAATTACTGTCAGGCAATTGTGGCTGTCCTGTTCAATCACCAGTTTAGGAGTGGAAGTGGGTTCTGGTTTTGACTATTAAAATTAAAAGGGAAGACTACTGGAGGCTTCTCGGAAAGATTTCCTCAAGCCTAAGAAAGGAGAGCAAGAGAAAGCAAGATGCCCTTTGCTTCTGGATACTGTGTTGTCTAAAAGATGCAGCCAGTGCTGAGCAAGCCAGTTCGCCTCACACTTCCCAACTTGGATAATAAAGCTCCTTCTTACTCCAGCCTGTGTGAGCTGGTGTTCTGTTACATGCAGTCCCAGGAACATCAAAGCTGATACATTCATTCATAACGTCATTTTCAGTATTTCAGTGTTCTACCCTTACCATGTGTACCTCATAATCTAATTTGAAAAACTTTCCTTTGATTGTGAATTGACCTTATATGTATTTATTTTTCATGTTTAGTTTTTGCTTACTTTTTGCCTGAAATCTTATATGAGACATCATGGATTTACCCCTATTCTCTGAAGAACACTTATTCATGGACTAAAACGGACTTGGGTGGCAAAAAATAAATAAATACCAGTAAATAAATAAATTTGGAAACGCCAGGGTAAATTCCCCATATGGGTTTTCAAAGCAGTAAGAATTAGCCTAGAATATGTGTTAAATTTTAAGAAGTGTATAGGTTTAGGAAAGGGGATGTGTTAATATGATCCTCAGCTTTTTTGATGTTTACAATATTGTTTATTTTTTGTGCTGATTTCACCTCTGTAAAATAGCTGTGATCAAGTATCAGTAAATTTACCACTCATCTTCCACTTTGGGCAGAAAAGGAAACTGCTCTATATTTTCTCTTGTTATATGCTTTCTTCCTTGTGCTGTTTTTCATGTTTTACAATTTCAATTTTAGAGGCAAATAACTCCCAGTTGATTTAGAGAAATCCTACTTGAGGGGCATTTTATGTCTGAATATTGATGTACTAGTAGTTTTCAAACACTATCACCAAAAACATGTTTTTTCCAATGAAACTTTTCTCAGAACCAGTAAGAGGGAGATTTATGGCAATTCATATCTTTGATGGGTGGGAACATTTTATGGCTTATTGAACTTCTGGAGCACAATTTGAAAACCTACTACATATGAGATTAGTGAAGAATCACCCTGCAATTTTTCATTCCAACTGAGATACTTTTCAGGGTAAAATAATTATACCAGGACTATCAGCTGGGACTGTCCCCAGCAAACTAGGGTTGTGCTGTTCTGGTGGGTGCTGAACACAGGTATGAATCTATTTGGTAAACAGTAGTAGGGAAATCTGTATGAATACCTGTTCCCACCTTTACAGCCCTGAGCCACTCCAGTGCAGCTAAGGAGCCTGGCCCTCCAGGGATTTTCTGCAGCCGCTTTGAGGAGTCACATCACGGGGTGTGCCCAGCCCTTCAGCAAGTGTTTACTGAGTATCTGCTATGTGCCAAGTGTTTTCTGAGGTGCTGAGAACGATGATAAATTGTGTGATTCTGAAGATCCTTAAGGTTTACCCTAGTCACTCAGCAGAACTTGGCAATGAATAGTTCCATACTTGTAACATTTGAGAGGTGTAAGAATGAGGAAGTGGAAAACGGCCTGGGAGCTCTCAGCCTTGCATTTGGCATTTCAAATGTGATGTGTTTTCACAGGCCTCCGTCTCTACCCACCCCACTCCCCCAACCCCTGAAAATGAACTACAGTTGACATCTGTGGATATTTGTGTATATTCCCTTTAGAATCTATTTTATAGTTAGAAGTTACTTTACTTTTACGAATAAAATACAGCTCTATGCATTGGTGTTTATTTTACTGGTGTTCGGTTTTTTTATGTGAGTAGTGTTGAAAACAACTACAGGAAATAAAATGATGAGATGTGGTCCTGTGTGTCTGTCTCAGAGTCTTTAGGATTTGGGAGAGAGAGTGGGGCTGTGTTTTGTGAATGAGAGGATGATGAAGATGTAAAAAGAAAAGGGGATGATAAGGAAAAAATGAGAAGAATCAAAAAAGAAGAGTAAAAGACATTGAAATGAGAAATTTCTATACTGCAATAATGTACATTAAGAATTTATAAAGGTGCTTAAGATTGGAAAAATGCCTCTCAGTTCTGTCTTGACCTTTTCACCCTAGGCTGTTGACATGCACAACGTATTCCCTTTAGTAACAACTGTTGGTGCATGATTCTCAACGGGGTAGAGAGGCACCCAGGATTTGGTACCTGGGATCCACAGACTTGAACCTAGCTAGCTAAGCCTTCTAAATAAGTGTATTTAACGGAGGGTATAGTTTAATGTTCTACCTATAAAATATCAAAGAACTAATACAGTATAATATATTTTAGACTGATGTTGACTTTAAAATCAGCTTTCATGTTAATTTACCCTGAAGTTTTATTTTCCTTAAGACATAAAAAAAGAACTTTTTTAACTGTACCTTTTAGCTCTTATGGAATAATATGATTGCTTATGTTACCTTTAGGAGATTGTAAATAGTTATGCATGGTTTGTTCTCACTTTTAACTATAATTTTCACAAAGAATAAATAACATATAAATCAAAATTAATGTACTCACAAATAACAATAGAAAGTTCAAGTAAGTATATTTTAGTTGTCTTTTTGCTGAATTTCTGAATTCAAGACTTAGAACTCTTAGAACTCTTGTTCATTTGTCATTTATGAACACTAATAGCTTCAACTCATCCTGAGCTGCTTTTGGCAACTTCAGACATAACTTTCTATTTTAGAGATTTGTAAACATTTAAACAATGACGTTTGTTTTGTTTTTTTTTTAATGAAAAGTTAACTTAGGTAAAGAGATGTTAAAGGCCCGTGTGAAGTTAAAGAGCCAACTATTTTCCTACTTGAGTTTTTAAACTGAACACTGTTTTCATTTGTATAAAGCCTTGTAAACTCTGAATTACTTGCACTATTGATGAAATGTTTAATAATATTATTTATCCTGGTTTAACATGTCAAAAAAAGAGAAAATATATAAGTTAACTTTGTGAATAAAAATGCAGGCCTTAAAGAAAGATCTGCTTCAAAGCCAACAGTCGGACCAGAAGAGGCTGAGACATACCCTTGGCTGAAGGAGCAGGTTCCTGAGGGGTCAGGTAAGCTTTCCTGAAAGTCTGACTGGAGGCATCAGCCTGCTATGCATTATAGTTTACAGTTTCCAGAATGATGTTTTGCCCATCATTTGTTAGCAGTGTTTACAGAATTGTGAAATGCTTTTTCTTCTCTTCTGGAATTTAACGGTAAACTTAATTCTTTTTTAGTAAAAGTTTATACAGGATGATTTTCACTTCTGAGATCAAGAATCAAAGACACAGTCCTGGTCAGTGTGGCTTAGTTAATTAGAGTGTCGTCCTGTACACTGAAAGGTCACGAGTTCAGTTCTGGTCAGGGCACATGCCTAGGTTGTAGGTTTGGTCCCTCATTGGGGTAAACGAGGCAACGGACTGATGTTTCTCTCTCACATTGGTGTTTCACTTCCTCTTCCTTTGTGTCCCTTTCCCTCTCTCTAAAATCAATAAGCATGTCCTTGGGTGAGGATCAAAAAAAAAATAAAATTAGAATTAAAGGGACAGATGGTTGCTCATTGCTTAAGATCACACAGTTAGGAATGTCATGAACTGAATGCTGCATTTCTTGATTCCGATTCCAGGGCTACTGTACCTTATCACCTTGAAAGTAGACAGGCTGCACACTAGCCTGTCGCCATTACTCACATTTTGTAGCAGAGTAGGTCTACTGAGTTCCCAGTCTTTTTCATGAGGATCTCCTTTCTACATCAGAAGGCTTCCCTGACTTCCCTGTATCTGTGAAATCTGTTTTACATATTCATGAATTAATTCCTAAATAAATTCAAGTGACTTCTTAGTCACCCAAGGGCCTGTGACCCATTGAATGAAAACTCCTGAAAGCTCTTCACAAGTTGGTAAATGAATTTGAATCCATTACTATCACTTCCTATTTGTGCTGAGATATTTATTCTAAAATACTATTTAATTCCTGCTCATTTTGTCATTTACTCAGTTCTCAAATATCAGTATTTGGTTTTATTTTGCCATCTAGTGGAAATATTCGGTATGACATCATTTACCAGCAACTTGAAGTCCTGGGTCCAACTGGCCCTTTGACTGATTTTATCATTTTGATGAATACTTGATTTTTCTTCCTTCCTTTTAAGATCAGTATGTTGATTTGATTTTTAAATTTGTTCAAATCATAATCATGGGAGAATTTACTCTCTTTCTCCCATTCTTGTAGAATTGCTATAAGCATACCATGGCAAGCATGATATTTTTTTAAGACGTAATTTAAATATGTTTGGATTTAGCATCTTAGATTTTACTTTGTGCTAGATAAATTTATAATTAAGAAATTTTTTTCAAAGCTAGTACCTACTCTGTAATGTGCCATTCACTTTCACTCTTAATGTTTTTGTTAATATTAGTCTGTGCATATTAATGATAACTTATCCTCCTAAATCTATGAGTTTATTATCACCCCCTATCCTTTTCAACTTCTTGGCAATATTTGATTTAGTTTAAATGTTGCCTTCTTAACCCTTCTCGTATACGACTTAGCTTCTCCCTCTTCTTTGGCTACCACCTATTCCATAAACATAGGTACACACCTCATTAAAATACAAAAAAATGACTCCCCTCTTGATCCCTACAGTCTATCCTCTCTGCTCTCCAGTCCCTCTCTTGCTGGACTAGCCAGACTTTTGAAAGAAGAACCCAGAGTTGCTTTTTTCTGCCTTGTGTTCCAATCAGTCTTTCACTTATCTTGGTCTGGCCTCTGCCTCTGCCCACCCTCTCCAGGGGAAAGCAGGAGCGAGTGTCAGAGAGTCAGTGGAGGAGGAAGCAGCACGTTCCCCCCCGAAGGTCAAACGGTGCTGAAGCGAAGGAGTCTGGAGAGGCGTGTGAGGGCTGGATGGGGGAGGTCTTACCCTCTGTTCGGGAGAGCTTCACTGCTTTCCGCAAAGGGAGTCGGGAAAAGGTTAAGCAAAGGAGCAGGGTGTCGCCCTCCACTTCTCTTTACTCACACGCTGTTCCCTATGGAAGGTTGTAAAACTGGGGAATCCAGTTAGGAAGCTGTCACGGGCGTTGAGAGAGACGACCAGGGAAGAATAGAGGTTGGCAGGTTCTTCTGTGATTATAAGAGAGCCTGTATTTAAAAATGGTTTTTGAAATATAAACATCTATGAAAATAGAGGGCACTTTCAGTGCTTCAGAAATGGTTTCGCAGTGTGACTAGCAAAATAGAGTCTTAAACTTTTTTCTATATGAAGTTCCAGCAAACGTACTATGTTTTTGTCATTGAAGATTAACTGATGTCATTGGTGCTGCTTCTATCTATTGAACATAGATGATATTTATTAGAACATTTATATTAGTGTCAGTGTAATTATAGCTTCTGGTTTGTTGTATGATGTTGCAATAAACTTGATAAACTAGTAAACAACGCAGTGATGTCGGAATCTCATTACTAATGTTCACTTTTGTGATTAACACCTTAATCTATGAATCTGACTGTCTCATCAGATAGGGCTCTGCAAAGCTGAAACGATTGTCACTTATAATGTGAGGTCTTTTACTCACAATTCCTGGGGCCAGCCAACCGTGACCATTGCAGTTCTCACACCAGCTGAAGGCCCTGTCTCCTCTCAGGGAGACATATACATTACTGTATATTGTGTTGACTGTGTACATTAATGTATACTGACCTTGTCTTATACATTTTTATCTTTATTTCCCAGCAGTTTTCGTTCCAAAAGCTTTTTTCCCTTTCCATTTTCTTTAGTCTATCATTAGTGTGAATTTTGTTAATCAGAAACTAAAATAATTTTGCTCTGAATAAGGTATTTTTAAAGAAAAATCTGAACCCAAATTAGGTTTCCTGTTTTAAAATCTTATGAGGTCTTTTAAAATTTATATCTGCTCTCAAAATGAAATCAATTTTAAATATCTACCATATTTGCCAACATAGGGAAAAAAGTGGTCAACTGATACGAAAAACATGCATAGTTGATTAGCCAGATATATTTATTTGTATATACGTGAATTCCATATTTCAGGTTTGACATTGCTTTGTCGGTCTTTCCTACTTAGTTATGTTTTGTGATTATTTTAGGACCTCAGCACATCGAAGATGAAATACAAGATGAAATTCATTCCTCCCTCCATGAAACGGTATACACAGAACATGGTATGAATTAAAACCTGTTTTTTTTCATGCACTACTAACATAATTGAATGATTAATGACTTGAACATTATTTTAAAATTTAAATAATAATTGAGTGGTTTTTTTTTAAAATTACTGAAAGGCAACTATTCTTGAAATACTACTAAACTTGTTTTACCCCACCTTACTGTTAAGGAACTTTTTGCATACATCTAGTAAAGAAATGGTAGGAATGCCTGAGAATAAACAAATTGAGAGCAATGGTACATCAAGAGCAGATGGTGAGAACAGGGACAAAGAAAATAGGACACGACCAAAAAGCTGTAATGGGCAATTGGGTGCCATCGCTGACCGTCACATTTTCCTGCCTGCTTGGTGGGTCGCCACAGCAGGACAGGCAGCTTTGAATTATGTAGGTCATAATACCAGAGCGGAAATAAACACAATCTACTTAGAGACTAGAAAACAGCTTCCCAGTGTTTACATCTTAAAAAATTTCTAATGTGAACTTCTATACAGAGAATATGAAATGATACTCTAGAAACCAATATTCTAGGATTTTATAAGACGGTTTCTTGAAGCATCCCTTGATAAAAGCAGGGAACGTAAGCCCAAAATGTAACTCACAAAGAGATTTTGAAGGGGGCCGAACACGTGGTATCCTGACACTTGTAATGGTTTGTTGTGAGCTAAAGGTAGTCCTAAAAGAAAAAGTTGTGCTTCTTAAAAACAAACAGAATTCTCCTCATTTAAATTGGGCTTTAGCAGGCCAACTAAACTGCACTTTTCAGTCTTAGATGTTTGAGGGTTAAAGGTAAAGCATCCCATTGGGCTCCCTCTGTGCTGATTGGGAGCTGAGTCTTGGCTGAGCTATAGGTCTTTGCCATTGGCTGCTAGGGGTCCAGGAGTCTCTGTCCTTTCCTTACTGGTTTCGTCTCAACTCGGAAAGACCGCCTGCATGTGCTCCTGCCTGTATGGGCAAGCACGGGCTTCCCCTTTCTGCATCTTTATTTTGATGCAATCAAAATAAGTGATTTTGATATAATGAGGTAAGTTCTGTGATGATGAAACACAGGATGCCATGTGGGGCTTGCTCACCCTGTGAGGTTCGCTCAGCTTCCTGAGGAAATGACGTTTTGATTAAGAGCTGAACGTGGCATAGTGCTTTGCCAGGCACATGTTCTCATCAGGTGTTTTAAGCAAAGGGCATATGTGAAGAAAGTCCATGGGCAAACGAGGATCAGAAAGTAGTTTGGAATGGCCGGCATGTGGGGGGCGTAGGTAGAGAGCGATGAGGGAAAGGATATTTTTACTTGATTTTAAGTCATTGGAACCGTTGGAGGGTGCTGAGTGTTGAGCACTCGGTCTGCAGCGTGAAGAACGGGTAGGAGCGACGTCAGGAAGGAGGTTGTACTGGTGACCCAGAGGAGTGGAGAGAGGAAGTGGAAAGGCCTGGTAGTCATTTAGGTGGGCAGGTATAGGAATTCAGATGGAAGAGCGAGAAATCAAGTCTAGGGCCTGTGTTTCTTGACCCAAGCCTTCATCTCGGATCTGTTCTAGCTTGTATCAAGACTTTTTCCTTAGAAAATCACAGAGGCCATGGCTTTAAACGTTACTTGTATCGCTTTTGAATATACATCTGCAGCCCTGATCTCTTTTCTAAGCTCCTGGTTTATCTGGATGCATACTTATCTCCATTTGCATGTTTTATGAGTACCTGAGATTTCAGTTGCACCTAAAGCTGAGTTCCTGATTCCTCTCCATCTCACAACTCTTACCCCTGCTCCCTCCTATCATATATTTGTTCTTATTTCAGTCTTTTATATTTTAGTTAATGCTCTCCTTATCCTCTTAGTTGCTTACGCTAAAAACCTGGGAATTTTCCTTGATTTCTCTCTCTCCTTCATCTCCCCTCACATGTAATCCATGAGCAGGTCCTGTCCACTCTGCCTCCGGCATGCATCTGGTCTCTGCAGCATGTCAGCCATCACCATTGCCTCTCGCCATGACCATTTCATTGGTATCCCGTTAGGTCCTTGTTTCCATTCTTGCTCCTCTACTCCCTGGGTTTGATGTGACCTGGCCCACTGTGCCTTATCTGGGCCCAGTCTCTATTTCTCCTCAGTCACTTTCTCTAGCCCAGCTGGCCTTCTCTTCCTGGTCTTTGCAAGCCTATCCCTGCCTTAGGGCCTTTGCACTTGTTATGTCTTGTGCTGGTGTGTGTGTGAGAGAGAAAGAATGAGAGAGACAGAGAGAGAGAGAGAGAGATCCAGTCTTCCCATCTTAGCAGACCAAACGTGGCCTCCTGGACCACTGTCTCTAAAGTAGACTCTCTTCCCCATCAGTCTTTGTTTCATGGTTGGGGTCAAGTCTGGCAGCTGCCATTTATTACCTGTATGGCCTTGAACGTCTCTCAAGTTCCTCATTCTTCAAAGTGGGATAATAATACCTACCTCAAAGGGTTGGTGTTGTGGCTACAGAGGGCTTGGCAATGCCTTGAGTCTAATGAGCCCTGAGGATGTTGTTTTTTTTTCACATTACTGACAGAGTAGTGGAGACTCACGGATGATGTACAAGGTTTGGCTGAGAGAGGTAAATCCGGCTCACATAAAAACCATCAAATCGGCCCTGGCTGGTGTGGTTCAGTGGATTGAACGCTGGCCTGTGAACCAAGGGGCCGCAGGTCCAATTCCCAGTCAGGTCACATGCCTGCGTTGCGGACCAGGTCCCTAGTAGGAGGCACACAAGAGGCAACCATACATTGCTGTTTCTCTCCCTCTGTTTCTCCCTCTTTTCCCCTCTGTCTAAAAATAAATAAGTAAAAAAGTCTTTTAAAAAAACCCCATCAAATTGTACTGGATGACATGAGAGAAAGGGAAAGGGGTATGGCAATAAGATGAAGAGTTGTAAAATTAGTGACAGAAGTGAGAATGGGTATTTTGTATCCTAAGTATCAAAAATCTGAAATGAGGAGAAAAGCTATAGCAGACGATGATGAGAAGAGAGAAAGCACATAAATGGCATTGACATAAATGGGCATACATAATTAAGTAACTCCTGAGAGAGTCACCATGCGTCATTAAAAGTAAAGGAGCAAAGGAAAGATTGCAGTCTTGGGGTAGAGTTCTATAGCATTAGAAATAGTAATATTGTTATTACTGTGATGAAGATGATATTAGAAGTTATAACAACAGTACAACAACAAAAATAACAATAACACCTGAATACTTATGGGCTGGCCATCTTTCTAAGTGCTTTAATCCTTACAACAATGCTATGAGTAGGTACTCTTATTTCCTTTTTATGAAAGATAAATTTTAGGCACAGAGGAGTTGAGTAACTTGCTCAGGATCACACAGCTGGTGTCGAAGAACCTAAATCTGGGGCCATACATGCCAGACCCCACATTCCTAACTGCCACACTACACTACACAGCTAAGTCTAGTTTACTTGAGTTATTTGGTGAGAGTGTTACATACAGGACATAATCTGCTTGGAGCCATGTCACATTACCATGGGGAGAATTTTTTTATACCAAAATGACAAGCTATACCATATTGCACTGGAATAAGGTAGCATTTCCAACATCTACACAAAAGAACAATTCAGTATATCATGAAAGTCTTAGAAAAGAACATGGGCATCTTTTCAGAACTTAAAGACTATAATATAGGAACTTTTAGAAATAAAGTACAATCCAGGCGACCCAATGAGATTGGCCTAGTGTACAAGTTTAGATAGGTGGCTGCCCATTGCAATAGAATGTTAATAGTTATTTAACATTGTTACATGGAATTTTATGTGAATTATCAGTGAAAGATCACAGAGGAACCCTTCCTTTGATCTGATTGAAGAGGAAAATATATTAATATTTATGAATTCATTTATTTATGCATTAAATGTTTATTGAACACTTCTTACGGTAGACATGGCCCTATGTGCTGGGTATACACAGAGAACAAAATATATGAGGTTCTTCACCTTACTGGGTTCATGATCTAGTGAGAGAAGACCTACACCCCCCCAGCAGGTAGGCCAGCACTTTGCCAGAGTGAGAACAGAGCTTCAGAGAGGGCACCAGCATGTGCAGTGTCTGTTGGCTGCTGTTAAGCCCCTGCTATACACCTGTGTCTCTTTGTTTATTGTCATTTTCAAGGAGAAGACTTACAACAAGAGGAGGATGGACCAGCAAGAGAACAGCAACCAGAAGATGACAATTTCCTTGTAGGAAGTAATACGGATGATAGATTTGAGTCCCCAGAAACTGGAACATTTCAGGAAGGTAGACCATTTTTTTGTTTTTTGCTTTCAGAATAAAACACAGTAGGTAATTTGTAATTAAAATTATTTAATTTTTTCTTAAACATCTTTAAAGCCAATATTTAATTTTTATGTAGTTTTTTAAGTTAAAGCTCAAAATTTCATTTAAAATGCTTCCCCCCCAAAATAAATAGATATTCCAATTTAGATAGAAAGCATTTTTAGAGAAACTCAGAATATATAAATTTCGTATAGAATGTAAGTGAAATAAATATTTTAACATATTACTTTATTATTCTCTCCTTTCTAGAGTGCGTTGGGTTATAAAACATTCAAACAACTGATGAAATATTTTGCTTGATAACCTATCACGGGCTCTTGTTCTGACATGAACTCTATAACTACAGTGGGTAGAACACAGTTCTTAGCTTTTTACCAGGGATTGGTAAACTTTTTCTGTACATAGCCAGAAGATCGATATTTTGGTCTTTGCAGACCACATAGCCTCTGCTGGAACCATTCAACTCTTCTGTGGTAGTGCAGAAGCAGCCGTGGACAATACCCAAGAGGGTATTTATGCCTGTGTTTCAGTAAGAGTTTATTTACAAAACCAGGAGGCAGGATTGATCTGAGCTATAGACCATAGTTTGTTGACATTTCTTCTGTCTCAATATTTTATTTATTTTTAAAGATGTTATTTATTTATTTTTAGACATAGGGGAAGAGAGGGAGAGAAACATCGATGTGTGAGAGAAACATCAGTTGGTTGCCTCTCTCATGCCACCAGTCAGGGACCTACCTGGTCTACAACCCAGGCATGTGCCCTGACTGGGAAGTGAGCCGGCGACCTTTGGTTTGCAGGAGGACACCCAACCTACTGAGCTACACAAGTCAGCGCTATTTTTTTTTTTGAATTTTTTAAATTAAATTTATTGGGATGACATTCATTAATAAATATAGGTTTCAAGTGTACAGTTCTATAATACATTATCTATATAATGCATTTGCATTGTGTGTTCACCAGCCAAAGTCAAATCTTCTTCTGTCACCATATATTTGACCCCTTTAACCTTTACTACCCCCCTCATATGCCATCCTTCTAGTAACCTAACTGTTGTCTATGTCTGTTTTTGTTTTTCTTGTTTATTTCTTGTTTTCAGTTTTATGTCCCACATGAGTGAAATCATATGGTTCTTGACTGTTTCTGTCTGACTTATTTTGCTTAGTATGATAGTCTCAAGATCCTTCCATGTTGTTGCAAATGACAGTATTTCATCTTTTGTTATGGCTGAGTAGTATTTCACTGTATGTATGTACCACATCTTTTTTATCCAATCTATCGAAGGCTACCATGAATAATGTTGCAGTGAACATAAGCGTCATCTGGTCATTTATGTATCGGTTGAGAACTTTACCTTCGATCATTTGCAATAGACAAGTTATAGTTATTGACTATTGAGCAATTTCTATGTGATAAAAACTCTTCATTCATATATTTTGTGCCCTGCTCTGCTTTAATATGAAACTACCATGATTATTAGGAGTCCTGTTAAATAAGTACAAATGCTTCCTTATGGTATCTCTGTTTTGTTAAAGTAGACCTTTAAGACTTTAATGAGTTCTTGGAAGATTTTAAGTCACAAATTTTGTACTCTGATTTATGTCATTTTATCTAAAATATGCATATATAAGTGATATAATTTTGTATTTAAAATGAATACTAATGAAAAAATTTTTTTAATATGCATATTTCATTTTTAAAGAGTCATAAAAGAAAACAAGCCCATGCTGAAGCTGGGGGAAAGGTTGATGGCACTGCCACAAATTAACCACATTGCACAATATGTCCCACCCTGCAGTGATCATCAGCCTATGGGAGAATTGCCCTAGGACCTGGGCAGCAACACAGCACCACAAGCCACACAGGATCTAGACCAGAGGTTCCTGGCAGGGCTCAAGGATTAGTAAAGCCTAAGCAAAGTTCAGAGAGGTGGACAGAGCTATGAGAAACAGGCAGTAGGTCCACCCACAGCACCCGTAAAGGTAAAAAAGTCCAGAGCCATAGGGTCATGGATCCAGAGAGGGAACTTCTTAGGAACAAGTCCACGAAGATGACTGATGGCCCTACAAATAGTTTCAATCCTAGGCACAACAAAGGTCACCCAGAGAACCTTTTAAAAGAATATGTGTGACCCACCCTAGACAAAATGAATTGGAATGTTTAGAGAGTGGAGCCCCAAAGTGGGTAACTGTAAAAGTGGCACAGATGATATTACAGTGCAGCCAGCCTTGAGCAGAACGCTCTTTCTTTTTCGTATGTCTCAGCTTACATCCTACCCAGCTGTGCATTCCCATCTGTAGACAGGACACTTTTGTCCTGGAAAACAGAATGCCACCGTGGAGTTTGAAGTAGATTAGAAATAAGCCCCTTTTCTGGGTCCAGCCTTTGTCCCCATTATTCTTCCTCAGTCATCCTCTCTCCAGCCCAGGTTACGGTGTGTGTCAGCCTTGAGGGGTTGTTGAGTGGATTAAAAAGAGAATGTGTGAATCATTTCTAAATGCAGTTCTGGTGAAAGATCACGTTTGGCAGACATTTAATTGATATATTCATGTTTAATTTTAATAGTTTACTTTTAGAATAAAATCAATGATAATAGAGTCAAAATACACACACACACACATACAGTATATATATCTCCCACTTTATGAAATAATAATATTGATTTAATTTTTTTTCCTAGAAACTAAAGAAGAGACAGGTGAGATTTCAATTTAATATTCTTTTTTAATTAGAATAAGTCTTTTACTATAAAGGAACATTGAGAGAGAAAACATTGTCTATAATCCTTTATTAAGAATAAATTATATTTAATATATCAAATATATAATACATATTTAATGAGTGTTATTTTATATAATATATCATAGTTATATATATATGCATATACATCTATATCTTTATACAGTTTTGTGTTTTTGGAGTCTCCTTCCCGAGGATAAGTTCCTGGTAGTGGGATTGCTAGGTCGCAAGATACAGTAGAATTTCATGTTTGTAGTCTTAAATTACAAAACCAGTGAAAGGTCAAAATTGTATATTGTTACATGCCATGTGTCCCCAGAAGGTATGGCCACACTGAAGACAGACACGTCACCTTTCAGTAATGAGCCTGTGCCGCTCTCCAGTTTCCCTCCAGTATTGGAAGTAGATCCTTCTTTGTGTGCTGGAGGACCACCTGACATTGTTGGCTAGCATTTCGGGCTCCAGATATTTCAACGATGTGTTTCTGTAAACACTAAAATTATAGTGCAGTCTGGGAGTACTCAGGTACTGAGTCTAAGTGAGGGGCTGGAAAATGTGTGTGTTCTCGCTCAGGCTCGTGGCAGGCGCTTGCTGAGTTGATGGGAAGGGGGCTTCCTGTGCTGCTATCTCTGTCTGTCTCTCTCTGTCCTTGGGGAATTTAATAGAGGATGTATTCTGTTTTGTGTCAATCTGTCCTATTTTGTTTTCTGAGAATAGTTGAATTTGCATCAGCTAAATAAGCCTATAGCTTCACTATTTTGTAGGGGGCCTGTCTTATTCATCTTTGTATTAGGCATTTAGCACAGGTAGTAGCTGTTTGTTCCCTGAGTGAAAGTGAGTTTGAGCATCATTAGGATTCAGTTTTACATTTCTATCATTACTGGAAATTGCCTTTCCTATTTTTGAATATCAAGTGTAATTCTCTTCATTGAGACATATTTGTATTTTCTAATTATTTCCTAATTTATAGCTTCACAGGCCTATAATCAGGATATAGAAGAGATGACGTATAAACAGGAAAATTCAGGTTTGTGATGTGCTTTTATTTGAGGCTGTGGCCAAGTCCGTTTTAACCCTGGGCTAACGATTGATTCTGATTAAACAGAGTACTCTTTATAATACTCATAATCATTTTTGGTTGCTCAGGTAGTTATAGAAATTTAGGAATATAGTTTAATATTATATGGAGAAATGAGGAGAAAAGGAGCTGTGTTTCTCAGATCACTACTGGGATGTTGGTCTTTGTAGATCAGAACAGAAAGAACATTTGGAAATGAATGAGGCAGAAGGATGAGTCCGACTGGGTGTGAATCCTGGTACTGCTCCTTCCTAATGTTTTGACTTAGAGAGCAAATTATGGAACTATATTTATCTTAAATTTTATTAAATGATAATGATAATATCTTACATCGTTGTAAAGATTAGAATTTAATTTGTAAATAATTTTAGAATGATGTCTAGTGATGTGTTCGGTTTTTCTAGTTTTTCTATGGTTGACAAATATGAATGTATATATTTTTTAGATTCCACCGAACCAGTAATAAATGAGGAAGAAAGAATGTACCATGATGCAGGTATTAGATGAATATTTTTGTTAGATTTTAAACATTATTAAAGATTTACAGCTGCAGTGCTTTGATTACATGGTGATTTTTCTTTTAAAGGAGACCAAGAAGTAATTTTAATACCTAATATAAAACTTTGTAACAAAATTTTATTATTAAAAAAATATAAGGCTTTCATATTTTACCTCACCTACCACTGGCTCCACAGAAAACAAGATATTAATTCCTAACTCTACTTTTGCATATCTTGCTTTATGCCAGTTTGAGGAATGTGCATGAAAATAACTCACCTGCCTTTTCCTGTAGTTGTTTTTGAGCAGAGCCATTATTCATTGACTGCGCAAACATTAATATTTAAAGAAATAGAATTCTGTATTTGAGATTGTGTATTTTAGCTAAGTAGCTACACACAGTGTCTCAATTAATGCTTATTTTGATTTTATTCTTTTTTCTGCAGATGATGTAACATACCAAGACCATGATCAGCAAGGTGTGAAATTCTTTTTAAACTTAAACTACCTACTTGTTTTAAAATATTCTCATAGTTTAACTGTATTGTATAGAGAATAACATTTTAAGTTACAAAACCATAACTTAAAACATCCAAATGAATTGTAGCTTTCAAGGAATTTACTGGGCGATATTGTTTACCTATTTCAGTGGTTTGCCATTGCCTAAATAATTTCTTAAACTCATTGTAGGTTGCCTTAGGAAGCAGTTAAAAATTATTCAGGACAACTTACCTCATTACTTTATAGTCATTGCTGTCTTTTGACTATAATAAGTCTTGTGCTTGGAAGGCTACTTTAGTCAGAGTTCAACTACTCTAGCTGCTTCTACAAATTAATCCCACTCTGCAGTAAAGATGACTGATCTGCCACATGAGAAAGGTGCAGAATTTCTTTCCAGACTTAAAGGCCACACAGAGAAAATAGTTCTGGCAAATTTGTGCCATGAGGAACGTCAGATTCACATTTAGGTTATTAGAGCTCCTTCTGTTGCACGAGCACTTCTTGTGCTGTTTCATTAAACTCTATGGAGTAGATTATATATTTGCTACTTCCCAGAGAAGAAAAAGAAGGTTCAGAAAGTGTGAAAAATGTGCTTAAGTTCATGACTAAGAGATAATAGAGCTAGCGGTGTATCCTTTGCTATTCCAGTATCTTCAAGGAAAGAAGTCAGTCAGGTATAACTCTTGTGTGAAGCAAGAAGGATGGAGAAATGTATAGTGCTTGAGTCAAATATGGAAGACTTTCTATATGCTAGGTAGTTAGGGTGTGATACTCATATATGAATAATACGGAGTCCCTACTTAAAGAAATGTGTAGCTTCATGATACCTCCTAAGTCTTGATTGGGAAAAATTAAGAATGGCTTGTGTAGGCCTGATAAACTAATTTACTAGGTGAGTGTTTTTAAGATTTGAGACTCTATCAAGATTACCCATCCTGTGCCATGGCTCGTGTGGCTCAGTGGATTGAGTGCTGGCCTGCAAGCCAAAGATCACCCATCCACAGTGGCCATTTCTACTAAGATATGAGTGATAACACTGGAAGAATCCTGGATTCTATCTTAGGGACTAATTTTTTTTTTATAGGAAATGAAATAACTTGGCAGCTATGATTTCATTTACATTTAGTTTCAATTTCGAATTCGAAGGAGGAAATAGGAAATTTGGAAATTAAAAGGTTGCATGGAGAGGTAGGCTTTGAGATCCTTTTCTAATTTCTGCCAGTCATTTTAGTGTTTTGCTAAATATGATGGAAAGAACATGTTTCGAATGTAATTTACAGACGAGGTCTAGAGAATTTTAAAATTAAACTTGAAAAAAGTGTAAAATTAAATAACATGCTAAAAAGATGTTCTAAAAATAAATGTATTTTCATAGCAGAATATGATAATAAATATAATTTAAAATGTTAACAAAGAGTAATAAATATTACCTAAGGGAATCAAGATTTGGTGAGATAGTTTGGATTACCTTTCTATAGAACATAAACTTTTTCAAACAAAATAGATCTAGTAGAACACAGGATTATTCACTATGTATTAGGAGGAAAAAAAAACGAACTGTGGAATTCAGGAACCAAACTAGGGAAACCAAGTGACTATATGTAGGTGAGGCTGTAAGCAGGGTTTAAACAAAACTATTTTTGGTGGGAATACATTCTGTATTAAATTCCCCAAATTCTAGAACCTGGGAAACCAGTAGCTTACTAAAGTGATAGGAGGAACCAGCTTTTCACATTAGAAGTGTTCTAGGAAGCATCAAGCCTACATTGGATATACCTGAAAAATGACAGTACAGTCTAACCACCTAATGGACTTACTATTGTACACTACATATGTATTATCTCCAAAACATAGGACACGGGAGCAGTGGTAGGGAGGAACACAGACATCGTTCCTATTCCCACGGCCCTTATATTTTACCAAGTGAGTAGAAGTTACACAAATATTTTCAATTTAGTATTTAGTTACATTGAAAATGAGTGCAGTGTATAACAAGAGTATGCAGTAGAGATCCTACCTAGTTTGTGGACCAGGGAAGGACCTCCCTGAAGTTGAGCTGCAGATGAGAGCAGTTGACAAAGAAAGGGGAAGGGTGGCTTGAATGTAGTCGGAAGGCTCTGAGGCAGAAAAGTGTTTTCTGGGGTGCTGAGGATAACAAGAGAGACACGGGCTGAGGTTGTGAGGGAGTCCTGGTTCAGAGGATGCCCAGAGGTAGGTCAAAGATGTTCATCGTCAGTGTAAGGCACTGTTGAGGGTACTACAAAATCACGTCTGTATTTTGTAAAGATTGTTCAGCCTAAGGTGTAGTAAATTGACTGGAGAGAGACAAGAGTAGCTATGGGGAGACCATTTAGGACGGTTACTGCAGTTATCCAAATCTGATCTTGCCCTGAGTCACATCTCTGCCAAATGAGGTATCAAAGAAGATGAGTTTCTAGAAAGAGATGTTCAGCAGTGCCCTATGCTGCTGAGGACTTACTCAAGGTGCGCACCAAAAATGCGCATTCAGTCTAGCACTATAGAGGCCTCACAGGGACCTTGACAGGAACTGTTTTCAATGGACAGAAGTTGAACAGAGTTGAAAGTAGTTTAAACCAGGGTGGTGGTGGCTGTGAAAGTGAAGGGAAGTGGGCAAAGCTGAGAAATACTGGAAGAGAAAGTTGACAGAGCTTGATATGTGGGTGCCGCTGGAGAGAGAGAGCAGGGTGTCAAGAACCACATCCGCCATTCTGCCTTATGCATTCAATGGACAGTGGTGCTTTGTTCCCAAGTCAGGAGAGACTGGAAACCAGGAACTGGAGGCCACATGGTCCAGTCTGCACATGTTGAGACATCCAAGGGGAGATGTTTAATAAGCCAATAGATGATGTTTGGATCTCAGAAGGAAGTCCAATTTGTTGTTGTGAGTTTGAGAGTCATGAGCATATATATGGTAATTGAAGCCGAAGTCTGAGATCATTGAAGAGAGAGGATGGAATGAGAAGACAGGAAATCCTGTGGCTGTACTTTGATGAAAGCCAACGCTTCATGCCTGATAAGAAAAGGATGAAATGATAAAGAAAATGGAGAAAGAGAAATGAAGGAATAAAAGGAGAATATGGTCAGGTTGAATTCCAAGTGCTTAACAAGGAAGGAGCTGCTAAGAGATTTAATATGGTAAGGGTCGAAAGTGTCCACTAGATTCAGTGAGGGATTCATTTGTTCCTGAACAGAAAGAGACTCGTAGGCACAGAGGAGAGAGGGTTGGGGGGATGGGTGAAAAAGGTGAAGGGGAATAAGAAGTACAAACTTACAGTTATAAATAAGTCATGAGGATATAATGCACAACATAGAGAATATAGTCAATAGTATTGTCATAACTTTGTACGGTGACACATGGTTACCAGATTTATCATGGCGGTCACTTTGTAAGGTTTATAAATGTAGAATCACTATATGGTACACCTGAAACTCATATAATATTGTATATCAGCTATACTTTAAAGTAAATGATACGTTCGTTGGTGGTCTTCGAGGAGGCGCTTTTGGATGTGGTCAGGGCTGGAAAACAGAGTGGAGTCAGTTGACAAGAGGAAGTAAGGAGATGAGACAGAAAATGTAAATGACTTTTTTTTATTGTTGACACTATTACAGATGTCCCCCCCTTTCCCCACTTTGCCCCTCTTCACTCGGCCCCCCTCCCCTGCCTTCACCACATTGTTGTCTGTGTCATGGGCTGTGCCTATATGCACGCATGTTCTTTGGCTAATCTCTTCCAGTTCCCCCCCACCCCTCCCCTCTGAGGTCTGTCAGTCTGTCCCATGTATCCGTGCCTCTGGTTTTAGGGAAGTTAGGCTAAAATGGAGGAAAGAGAGGAGGTCAGGAGAAGTAGTCTCAAGAAAGGGCTTTCTTTTTAAATTGGTAGACTTTACCATGTTTAAATACATGGTTCAGGGTGACAGAGTGAGTGTACATTCACTGCTCCTGCCTCTTAAAGCCACCAAAAGGACAGAAGACGATATATTAAAAATTGCCCCTTGCTCCATCCACCCCTGCACTGAGACTATCACAAAGATAGTAGGTACTCCTCGCCCTGGCTGGTGTGGCTCAGTGGATTGAGTGCCTGCCTGCAAACCGAAAGGTCACGGTTTTATTCCCAGTCAGGGCACATGTCTGTATTGCAGGCCAGGTCCCCAGTTGGTGGCATGGGAGAGGCAACTGATCAATGTTTCTCTCCCTGTTTCTCCCTCTCTTCCCCCTTTCTAAAAATAAATAAAATACAAAAAGAAATAAAACCACACACATACACAAAGAGAGTGGGTACTGAAAAATTTTTCCTTATTAAATGGACAGAAAAGAATAAATTGATAATCATGTTGGGAAAATAAAGTTTGCTCTTAGTGTACAAGAAAATTGAGGAATTTTGGAAAATGGAAAAAGTGGGGAGCAGGTTGACTAAGAAAGCCGTCACCCCACTGGGGATGAAAGCAGACTGTTGTCTCTACATTGAGCACACAGAACATTGAGCTCCGGGCACATAAATACAAGGAGCAGTGGGTGATGGTCTGTGGTTAGCGTCATGAATTAAGGTCATTCTAAGAGGCTAGTGCCAGGAGCATTTGCCCCAAGTGAAAGATCTGAGAATTATTTCCCAAACAAAGTAGAGAATAGGTCTCGTGAACACATGGATCAGAGTGGCAGTCAGGATAGGGCTTTGGGGAACTCAGAACCTTCACCACAGATAGGAAGAAAAGAAAGAAAAGGAAGTTCAGTGCCACCCGTCATAAACATATTGGATCCTCGGAACAAGTGATTGGGGAAGAACCTTAGTTTTCCCCATTTTACAGGAAGGAAACATATGTAATTGCCTGTCTCCTGTGGCTAAAAAGTGGCTGCCATGGAATTTGAATCTGGGCTTATTTCACTTGAGACCAGACCCTTCCCCACACTGCCATTCATTTCCCAGTGACTGAGCCCCAGCGTCCAAGGATAAAGTAGACATTGTTTCTGCTCTCGAACTGTCCAGCCAGTGTTGTGTTAATCTGAGAGTTATGCAGCACTGAACAATTTTTTTATGTGTATTTTATAGTATATGAACCATCTGAAAATGAAGGAATAGAAAGTTCAGGTAAGCTCTTTCTCTGAGCCGATGTTTCTTCCTGCAAGTCAGCGCCCCCATATTTGTTAAAACTTGTATAAGTCATGGAACAAAGATAGATGTAGTAAAAAACATAAAACATTTTCATCTCACCAAGGAAGTAATTAGATACTGTTCATATATTTTTCCCTACTGATTTTGGAAGTTTTATGTCAACAGGGATAACATCAGCTTATGTGATGTATTCTTTAACGTAGTTTGGGAATTAAAGTTGATATACTAGTATAAATACTTGTGAGTCTCTCTGTAAAAAAAACTTAGTCTAAAAGGAGCCAACTTTGGATATCTGAGTGGATATAAGTTACTTCAGGGATCTAATGGATTTAAGTTCATATAAGCTGTGCTTGAGTTTTTCCTTTTTTTTCTTTTTTTCAGATAATGCTGTAGACGATTCAAACATAATTTTAGAAGGTAAGTTTTTATAGAGATGGTTATACGTTTCATATTAAAACTATGTTCATGTATGCAACAAGTGTTTACTAAATAAGCATTCCGTCTTAAACCTCTGTACAGCGCTCAGGGGGTCAGAGGACAAGAGTGCCCGGTGACAGGCTAGATAGCGGTGGCTGAGCTGCAGTGAGGAAGGCCACTTTCAATTTTAGGAGAAGGGGTTGGCTATGGGCAGAGATGGGTTGAAAGTTGGGTCCTTTATGTTTTTCAGGCATTTTGATAAGCCAGTAGAGCAGATAGCAGGGGCTGTTTGGGGACGTCCGTCTGGTGGACAGAGGGGCCCTGGCGGCCTACCTCAGCCCCACCCTCAGTTCCTGTGCTCCGGCAGCGCCCACGCAGGGTGAGGGGTGCTCATTCGCTCTTCCTGTCCACCAGCCGTCTCTTTCCCGGTCTGCCCTTGTCTTGGCTGGTTGCATCAATATATACCTGGATCCCCAAATGAGAAATGTGAGAGTCGTCGTTAAGTCTTCCTCACCCTGTTCCTATAGCTAATCCCAAGTCCTGTTGAACAGGCTTCCTCAGCACTCAGATCTATTCTTTTTTCTGGAACTCTCGTGGACCTAGTTCAGCCCCCTATCATCTTCCTGGACAATGGCAATAACCTTCTAGCCAGTCTTCTTAACTTATACACTTCCCTTTTAAATCCATCTTTCATGGTGCCCTCAAAGTGACGGCTTCAGAAATGCAGTCTTCCTTTATCAGTCCTGTGCTTAAACCCTTTTCTTCCCCATCTGTTCCAGTAGGGTTACTTTCTATTGCGGGTAACTGAAAACCAAACTTGAATTGACTTAAGCAATAAAGGGATAAGGAAGAGATCAGTTGGGGCCTTGGACGTCCTCATAAGGAATTTGCATTATATTCTAAGTACAGTGAGAATCCAAGGAAACAATGAGATACGGCATAACAGGCTTTATATTTTAAAGAGTTACTTCTGCTTCTAGTTAGAGAATGGATTGGATGGAGCAAGAGTGGAAGTAGAAACCACCCCTTTAGGAGATTATTGGATATTAATCCAGGGAAGCTATCTTAGTGGCCGGGAGTGAGGCCATGGCAGTAGAAATAAAGGGGAGAGTGTTGAACTTGGGCTCTACTTTAGAATTGCAACTGATGGAACTTTCCGATGGTTGTGAAGTAAAGAGGAATAAAGGCAGCTTTGGTTTGGTTTGAATAACTGTCAAACTTTGGGGCCATTTACTTAGAAGAAAACTAGGATGTGGAAGGAACTGGTTTAGGGAAGAAAAGCAAAGTCTCTAAAGTAGATATTTTAAGTTTGGGAACTATGTGAGATACCCAGATGGCGGTGCCACGTGGGGATTAAGATGTGCCAGTCTGAACAAGATGGGTGAGATCTGCGGTGGATGTCACTGTTTCGGAGCCGCCATCATGGGGATGGTATTATCTTCACGGAAATGGCTAAGACCGTTTGGAGAAGAGTGCAGAGAGAGAGGACGAACAGTCCCAGGCTGAGCTCTGAGGAATCCTGACATTGTGAGGCTGGGTGGAGCGTGAACAACCGTGAGGCTGGGGGAAAACCAGTAGAGAAGAACATGAGAGGGCAGGACACAAAGCTATTTGAGTAAATTGATGGGAGTGAACACCATACTGAAGTGGGTTTAAAAAGTCCTGGAGTGAAAAAAAAAGAAAAATTATGTATCAATGGGGAACTCTTTCAGGTTGTGCTGATACAATTTGCTATTTCCTTTACAAAATCCTCTTGTTACATCATTACCAAAATAAGTTTCTAATATGTGTGCTAACTGTACATTTATTCAGGATAAACTTAGTTGGAAATTTATCTTGCAGTAATAATGAGACTTTCTTAGTGATGGAAATAGCAGTATAAGTGATTATGATACACGTGGTTTTTTCAAATGTGCCTAAAATGACAAAAGTAAAAGAAATTCTGAGAACAAAAATACTGGTAAAATTGATAAGGTGCTAATGTGTCTCTAAATGGTTAAAAGAGAAGTAAAGGGCACACCAATTAACAAGCCCATCATCGCACAGAAAAGCTGGTACACAGTGCAGGTGCCATCCTAAAAGAAGACAATATGCCAGAGTAATAATCAGTGGGAATATGTATCATTTTTTCTGTGTTCTGTTTACTTTTGTGCAAACTATTTCCAACTCTTTTATCGTGAGCATATATCATTCTTATAATTAGAAGCAGATTAATGCCAAAACAATGATTAAAATAACTGCATAAATATTTTGACTTTTAGAAAATACTATTAGAAATTCCTTCTTTAAGCCAGTCTTTTACCAGTCTTAAGGAGCAAAAGGAAAGCTGCTATGATCTCCTCTCTAGATTAAGGTAATTTCAGATGGGTGTTAGAGATGAAGATACTAATATACAATGTATGGTAATTTTATAGAGGGAGTTTAGATCAATGTCATTATACAGCCCTGTGGTGAAATATACAGTCACTTTAGTTGTAAGTGATTGAGGCAACCAGAGAAAAATATAAGATGTTAAAAATTCATATCCACATTTTTGGTTAGTCTTAGAATGTTATCTTGAATGTTATTTTTCGATATACTTTGTTAAATATAGTGATTTATTTTTAAAATTCTATTTTAATTTAACTTCTTTGTGTTTTTATTCACATTAAAATTAGAGTTCTGAATTTAAGATTTTGAATAAGAAACAGGATGCTTTAAATGTCTTTCTTCAGCTTTCCTGTCAAGTCTGATGCAAAATGGATGAAAACCTAGGTTTTCGTTCTTATCTCCTTTGCCTGGCAGCGACTTTTGAGGTTAGTCAGTTAGGCAGATAATTTCATAAAGTCTGTTGTACAGAACACTTGAAAAATGTACATTTTGCAAAGTTTATAGCTGATTTTTCTTTGTTGTGATGGTATAAGAACTTAATGTATTTATAATAACTGCAATTGAATTTTTAAAAAGTCTGTAAAAATAATCATTGTAACTTAAGTACCAGCAACATGTATTTTAAAACTGGTCAGCACTATGTAATGGATTGTTACTGGACTATTTATTTTAGAAGTACGTGCGCCCCCGGCAGAGGAGCAGCAGGAAATACCACCAGGTATGACATTTTGTTAGCTGTGTCACTTTTTCCTTTGGTGTTGAATTTAAAATATGCTGTGGATATTCACACTAGCTGAATGAAATAATTATATGAAAAATAAACGTCCTGGGAGAGAAGGATTAATTATCCCTAAGTTTAAACATTTTCTGTGATTTGATCAGGTGAGCCAAAGTCCAAGGTAATGGAAAATACACATCAGAGTTCGAGCTAGAATTTGAGGAGGACTAATGATCAAAGTTCCGTATGATTTTTGCCATTTCACATGGCAGCAGTAGTATTAAGTTGGGTTTTTATTTTTCTCCTTGACTGACAGGCTACTTGATGGATGATATAAAATCAGAATTGCCTTAAGATGCAAGTTTAATAGTACGTCAGTTTGTGACCTCACCCCTCCTCCTCCCCTTTCCTGTCTTCCGTGAGAGCACCGCTGGTGCCGCCCGGCCGTCCTGGCTGCGGGAGACCTGTCCCGACCCTGCGGGCTTTCCTTTCAGCCTCCCGTTAACCCGTTCCTCTGCTTTCCCCACATGTCCCTCTCGTGATCAGTGAAGAATGGGAAAAACATTTCAACCATGACCTGTGCTTTCCAGTGCATTTTAGAGATGACATTAACTTACCTGCAACCAGAAAGTAACACATAAACCTCCTGTTCTCATGGTGGGAAAAAATGTTTTATTAAGACAGGATTTTCCAACACTTCTTTCCTAACTGTATTTCTTCTTGTTTCTGTGGTTTATTTCCATTTTTTCCTTTTAGTGTCATTCGTTCATTTTTTTACTCATTTTTTTCATATTATGCTTAATGTGAATTTTGTAGCAATGATGTTCATTACTATTGATTTTGATAGACATAATTGTGCCCACCAAATTTTATTGAGTACTAAATTTCAAGGGAAAAAACACTTTTGTAATCAAAGAATATTTTTAGTTACACTTCAGCTTCTCTTTGCTTATTGAATGATTACGTATTTTAGGTTTTGATAGTTGTCATACCATGTATTGAATTGGCCAAAAAGTTCATTTAGTTTTTTCCATAAAATAAAAGACACATTTTTCATTTCACCAATAACTTTATGAATTTGGATATTTTGAGTTTGTCATCTATCTCCCGTGTGGTACAATATTGATTTTTCTCTATTAATGTCTCAATTTGAACACTATCAACCTCAACTGGTCTAACCTACTATGGAGTATCGTCCAGCCAGAAATGTCCAGCACAAAACTTCACAAACCACTTCTGACATGTTCAATGAGTTACAGCACCTTCTCCATATACTGCACAAATCATTCTTTGCATTTCAGTTGCAATTTACCTTTCTTGACACAGTAAAGCATAATGTACCAAAAATGTTGCGTATTTTCTCCCATATTCAATATTAAGGTAGCAATACAAAAATTCACCAAATTTCATGTTTTTTTAAATGCATGCTGATATGACAACTTTCATAATACAATCCAACAAAATTGTTTCAAATAAAGTTAAAGACAATTAAGTGCTACTAGAGCCATTTTATGGAAAAAAACAAATGAATTTTTTGGCTAAACCAATACATTTTTAACAACATGCACAGATACTGAAGAGAACTGAGTAGTTGGCATTATAATATGAATGAGAAAGAAATTTATAAATAAATTAATCTTTGACCTGATGATTACTGGGCATGTATATATTTGGTGTTCAGGAAAGATGCACAGAGCCAGGAAGGTGGGTGTTTCTGTCCTACTTTTGTGGTTTACTCAGTGTTGTTGAGTAATGGGTCACAGACCGCCTTGTTCTATCTGAAGAGGCAGAGCAGGTTACTGAATTTGCATTTTGATTACTATCTACTTTGAAGAAAATTGCTTTATAAGTATTCCTAAAATAATGAGTTTTGTAGAACATTGATTTTTTCCAGTTACAGTTTGTAGTTTTTTTAATATCGACCTAAATTTAATGAAGATATGAAAGGTAATAGTTTCTGACCAAAAAGTTCTGTGCTTTTATTTCCATGTTTCATAGATAGAATTTCCTTGGACTATAAATATAAAATACTAACTAGTTGGGGTGCTGGACTAAAGTGGTTTTCAGATGAGATATTTAACTACCAAAGCACATAAAAATGAAGATTTGATTAATATGCATGATTTCTGACACATAATAAGCTGTCAGTAAATGGTGGCTATGGTTATTGTTTAGTAATTAATTAGCCTGATCTTTCAGATGAATTAAGAGAAGCTAAATTCTGAAAGATGTGCTCAAGAAGTTGTAACCTGTAATTTGGTGTCATAAAATTTTGATTGACCCACTGCACAGTTGTAGTTCAACCTTGCCAAAAGAGAATGCAAGGCCAAGACCTAGCAATAGATATTTTTAATGATTGCACTTGGTTTGCTTATTTCTGTTATCTTCTCAGTCTTAACTTTATATTACAATTTTTTATTATTCAATCTTAAAAAATAATGATGATCATAAATCTGTTTTTGTGATCTTTTTGTAGAATAGGCCGACTGCTTTTGTAATAGTGTTTAATTATGTATGTGATTACAGAAGCTATGGGCACATTAATTGTAGGGCCTGTCACCTTGCTGCCTTTCCATCATTGAAATTGTTTTATTTAGTGGAAAAGCTCAAGTTGAGGATCTCTGAAAAATGTTGGATGTTAGTTCACATTTTCTTGGCCCTCAGAATTTAATCGATGATTACTTTGCCTTCCCTTACACAGTCTTAATCATTCTTATTAAGTGTATAATAATATATTTACTTGTGTGACAATTCCACGGGACAGGAACTGTCTTACTGTTGTATCCAGCAACACATGAGCAGATGATGAATGCTAAACTAAAATTTATTAAGCATTATCTAGATGCTCTTCTAAGCACATTACATAAATTACTCATTTAATATTTCCAACCGCCCAAGACGTAGATATGCTGTTACTCCCATTTTAGAGATGAGACAAATTCACGCAGAGCAAGGCAAAGTTATTTGCCTGTGGTCAATGAGCTGTCAAGGGGGAGAACTGAGATGGATCCTAACGTTCTGACTCCAGAGTTCACTCTCAGCTGCTGTGCTTCAAGAGGATTTTAAATAATTGAAACTGAGTGCTGATGAGTTTTTTTACATTGATTATTGCTATTACAGTTGTCCTGATTTTTCCCCCTTTGCCCCACACCTCCCACTCCCTCAGGAGATCCGCACACTATTGTTCATGTCCATGGGTCATGTGTGTAAGTTCTTTGGTTACTCCATTTCCTATACTCTACATCCCCATGACTTTTCTGTAACTACCTATTTGTACTTCTTAATCCCCTCACCTGTTCTCCCATTCTCTGACACCCCCTCCCATATGCAACCATCAAAGCGCTCTCCATATCCATGATTCTGTCTCTGTTCTTCTTGTTTGCTTAGTTTGTTTTTGGATTCCATTGTTGATAGATATGTATTTTTGCATTTTATTGTTCACATTCATAGTTTTGATGTTCTTTCTCTTTAAGTCCCTTTAACATTTCATATAATAATGGTCTCATGATGATGAACTCCTTTAGTCTTTTCTTGTCTGGTAATCTCATTATCTGCCTGTCAATTCTAAATGATAGCTTTGCTGGGTAGAGCAATCTTGGCTGTTGGTCTCTGCTTTTCATTACTTTGACTATTTCTTGCCAATCCCTTCTAGCTTGCAAAGCTTCTTTTGGGAAATCAGCTGACAGTCTTATGGGAACTCCCCTGTAGGTAACTGCTTTTTCTCTTGCTGCTTTTAAGATTCTTTGTCTTTAACATTTGGCATTTTAATTATGATGTGTCTTGGATGGGCCTCTATTGCATCATCATGCTTGGAACTCTCTGTGCTTCCTGGACTTGCATGTCTATTTCATTCACCAAATTAGAGAAGTTTTCTTTCACTATTGCTTTCAGATATATTTCCAATTTCTTGCTCTTTCTCTTCTTCTGACACTCCTATGATGTGAATTTTGGACCTCTTGAAGTTGTCCCAGAGGCTGCTTATACTATCCTTTCTTTTTTGGAATCTTTTTTCTTCTTGTTATTCTGATTGGTTGTTTTTTCCTTCCTTATGTTCCAGATCATTGATTTGATTCTCAGCTTCATCCACTCTAATGTTATTTCCCTATAAATTGTTCTTTAATTAGTGTGTCCTTTGTTTTTGACTGGATCTTTTTTTTATTCTCTGAGGTTCTCACTAAGTTCCTTAGGCATCCTTATAACCAGAGTTTTGAACTCTGTATCTGATAAATTGCTTTTCTCTATTTCATTTAGCACTTTTTCTGGAGTTTCAAACAGTTCTTTCATTTGGGCCAAGTTTCTTTTTCTCCTTGTTTTGGCAGCCTCTCTGTGTTTGTTTCTGTATATTAGGTAGAGCTGCTTCGACTGTGTGTCTTGGTAGTGTGGCCTAATGTAATAGTTGTTCTGTAGGGTCCAGTGGCACAGCCTTCTCTATCACCCAAGAAGGGTACTTGTGGTTTGCCCTTCATGTGGACTGAGTACACCCTTCTCTTGTAGATGAGCCTTGGTTGCTGTTGGCAGACCAATGGGAGGGATTTACCCAGGCCAGTCACCTGTAAGGATCGGGTGACTACTGATCACCAACTTATACCTTCCATGCAGGATCAGCTGTGCAGGGGCAGAGTGTAAATGCTCTGACGTGGTCTGTAGCTGTCCACTGGGCTCACAGGCCCTGGGATTTCTCAGGTTGTTTAGGCCAAGGTCACTCCTACCTATGTTTTCCCCAGGGCCACCTGCCTGAGCTATAAAGCAATCTGAAATAGCTACTACTTGTGCTGGGCCTGGAGATTCCCAGGTAAAGCCAATCTGTGAATCTAGGCTGCCTGCTGCTAATGCCAGGCCTGGGGCTCCCTGAGACCATTTGTTGCTTGTTTGAGAGGACTTAGGAAGTTGTGCAGCATGAGCCAAGACCAGCCATTCACATGGAAAGACAGCTTGAGTGGGCCCTAAGTTGGGTGGGCTGGAATCTCTGGGATCTCCAAGGTGGGTCAAACAGTGTTAGT